TGTGGGCCAAACCAAACAGCACCTACTGGTACCTAGGGTTTTGCAAGGTCACCTAAACTTAGACTTAATAGACTCTTCTATTATTATAAAATAATTTACAGAATTCTTTTCTTTACCAGCACTGCTCAGAACCATTATTTTCTGTCATATAACAGAGTCTCCAGCCTAAGAGCAGAAATCACAGCCCATTGAAGCACAATTGTGAAATTCTTGGGTTTTTTTAAGTGGTCAAGATTAGGTTTTTCCCTCAAAACTCTTCTTGTGTTTCAGTTGGCTACATTGTTCTTCATTTCTTGCTGAAGTTTCAATAAGCTTCCCCTCATCCCAGGGGCAGTTGCATTTCAGCAACAAGTAAAAGTTGGCCCTCTGTGGGCCATAATGTAATGTAGTGTAATATAAGATACATAGCTACAAACAATTCTGCTATATCGTAGACTGTTTAGGTTAAAACTCACTGAAAATCTCTGTGTAGTTGTGTTTAAATATGAAACTTAAAGACCTAGAGTGTTTTCACCTAATGTTCTTCACAAGTAAAACTTTCTAATTTAGCATGAGCCTTATCTCTGCCTTTGCTGAGATGCAAAAATCCCAGAAACACCAGGAATACATAGTAGTGCACAGGGACCAGGGATAAAGGGATTCTAAAGGTGTGCTTATGTCTCTCTGGTAATGACAGCACTTGGTAAAATTACGGTTGTCTGATCAAGTATCCATTTTTGTTTTAGGGGATAAATAAAATTAACCTTGGATATCCTAGGTTTTTAGTGCCTGAGTCTGCACCTGCAGTCTGCACAGCTGACTGCAGTGTGAGCTCTGAGCTCTTAGATGCACTTAATATAGACTTTTTTGGGAGGATCTTTTGCTTTTTTTTTAAAAAAAAATAATGTTCTCTTCTATTCCCAGCTTTTTCTTGCACTTGCACCATGAATTCCAACTGCCCAGCTGTCTTCATTTCCCCCATATTTCTTGCCAACATCCCCTGTCACTGTGACCTGCTGCGTGAATGGTAAATTCCATCCCAGAGATACTTCATTTTACATACTTAAAATGTGATCAGTATCAGCCCCGTTCAGAATTGCTCTCAGGAGACATAAGGGTCCACAGGGATCTCAGCCACATGAGGTGCTTCAGGGATTAGTGTGTGTGTCCCCCTTCATTTACAAGCAGCTATTTAACAGCATTCTCCACCTTTGGTGGTTTAATTGAAAACCTGCTACTTTCTTTTGAGGTGTAAACAGACAGATAGACCTTTAAAAGTCAGAGTTTAGGGAATGAAAGATCGTGAAAAAGGGCTTCTCACTTGGGTCAGGTTTTATGAAAACATATTTATTTATGTTTCTCAAAGGCAGGTTCATGTTTATCCTCTCTAGTCTCTGGATTTTGCTGTGAGGTGTCAAGAGCACGGTTACTCCAGGTTCGTTTAGAATTGGATTTCTGCCAACATGTTGTGTGCCTTCCTCTCTTTCCACCCGCCCCTGCACTTTCTCTCTCCTGGTTATAGTAGATTATTCCTTATGTTGATCTCAGCGGGTATTTAATTTTCACTTCTTGGTGCTAAAGAAAACAACAAGCCTTAGAAACCAGGGGGTTTCCAAGCTTTAAAACCTGAAGAGAAGAAAAAAAGATGATTTCTTCAGCCTATACATTCCTACGCTTATTTGTTCCTAATATCAGCACGTGGAGTTCAGGATTTGATTGTAATTTTTAACACACTAGACCCAGAAACCTTTTTTGGTTTGACTTCTCCTGACTCTAGGTTGCAGGCTGGTTGGATCTTCCAAACTCCTGTAACTTTTTTTCCCTCTTGATGAAGGGTCTTCAGTCCTGTACTTCCTTTGATTTAAATTCCTTTCCTAGTCCCAGCCAGATGTTTGGTTTCCCCCACTGTTGACAGTCAGATAATAGTCTCATGCTATCACTTCGTATATTTACATTTGCAAGATCTGTCACAAAAAATTTCCAAATTTTTCTCACAGAGGGCCTTACTGTGGATTTTTAATACTTTCCAAAGGCAAATTCCTTTAATGTCGCCTATAAATTGCTTAAACAGCAAGCAAAGGCAAACCTTCCTGTTTTTCCTTTTCCAGTAAGAAGGGTGTGTTTCTGAGCCACATCTTATGGATGACCCAGAGATTTACTCCACCTTTGGCAAAGGAATGTGGCTAGCACTTCAGAGAATTGCAGGAAAGCTTCAGGAGTTTGGCCAAGAAAGATTAAACCATCAAAAATTAGGCAAAACTTTGTCTTTCCCCCTTTCCACTGCTTTCATTTCCTACCGTGTTGTGTTGTCCTCTGCATCAGACTATTTAAGACTGCCAAATACTTGGGTATTTTATAGGTAATATATCTTATAAATGCCATAGCCAGCCTCTGAGGGAAACAGAGGATTGTCGGTTTTGGATGAAGTATAAAACCCAAGCAGGAAATCATTGCTGAATGGCACAGCTGCAGGCAAACATTGCAAGCTAGTAAACTGCCCATCTGCACAACCACACGTGTGTGGGAGCGCGGGGCCAGGGCAGCCGTGGCAGAGCGTGCCTGTAAGTGGTTAGCAGGGAGAAACTTGGTGATTAAAGAATGAAGTGTTTTGCTTCATTAGCTCCTGAAATACAGCTATCTGAAGGTGATTATAATCTTCTTTTCAAGAAGGGACAGAGGCTGAAGACTAGAGCTTTTCCTTGTCTGTAATGAAATATAAAAGCAGAATTTCAGAGCTGGGCTGGGTTTGATCATCCCACTGCAGGACAGAGGATGTGACACAAGCTACAGCTGAGGGCTGAAGGAAAAGTTTGTCAAGAAAAAGAAACACACTGTATTTGTTCACAGGGCTGAACTGGCAATCACGTCTGAATCTTCCCTTCAAAGTCAGAGACAGGAAAGACAGTCATTAGGTCTGTTTCACTGTCATTGACCTGAACAGGGTCCTGGGTGGCTTTTGAGCTGAATATTTCTCAAAGTTTGAACTGTGTAAGATCCCCCTTTGCTAGAGATTTTGCCAACCAAAATAATTTTCACGATGCTCATTCTAGTACTTTCCTGTTGTAATTTAATGTGTTAGTTAGTTCCTAGTTTTGCTGTCTTCCATTCTAAATAACTTCTCTTTCTTTGTGGGTTATTGTTTGTTGAGTTCCTCTAGCCAAGCTCGCTGTGTTAGTTCTCCCAGTCCTTCCTCTGAAGTTTAGCACTTCCTCTTACACATGCCAAGTTTGAGTTCATTTTCCGCATGATTTTCCCAAGTACTACTTTAAATAATCCACAATTCAGTAACTAAATGGAGATTGTTAAAATAATGAAACAACAACAATAAAGCTCTTTTAAGACTGCACTCCAACTGTAAAAACTGTTGATTTGGGGTTTTTTCCCAAGTATTTTATTGAAAAATAAAATTATCTTCTCGTAGTCAAAATCAAATTACCAGGGTTGTAATCCCAACATACAACAGACTTTCTACATTGATATTTTTCTTTTGGGAGAGTTTTTCCTTGATTCATTGCAAGGTATAAATCAATGCAAGAGTAAAGATAATCTAGTGATCAGGGTCCTTGTATTCAGGGAAGATGTATATGTTGCCAGCTGAAGCCTTTGGAAGCTTTTCTCTTCACTGATGTATTTTGTATGGGAACACCTAAGGAGTGTGAAACTCTCGGGACCTAAACTGGTTAAAATGTTCTGATTTCTCTTTAAAATGTTCTGGATGTTTCATGTGAGCAGGAATATCACTAATGTATGCATCATAAATATTTTCATTTAAGGATCTGATACTTCATATATCCTTGGGCATTTCCATATTTTTATCAGAAAGAAGAGGAGCTGCTTTGGTTTTTCCTCTGTAGGCACTTTATTATCTCCTTCCTGTCAAATGATGCCATTTTTTAAGCCACATAAAGAGGATTTGAGTTGTTGTCATTACAGTGTTGGTACTTTCTGCATTCCCTCTGCACACAAGTAAGAATTGCAGGATGATGCCATATTAAATTATAGGCATGTCTGTTAAAATACAGGGGAATTAGTTGTGAAGATGCTTTTTCCTTATTTTGAATCTTTCTTTATATTTTATCGCATTAAGGAAGCATGTAATTAGTGGACATTGTCGTAGTGTCTTGGATTACCTGGCGTTTGATTCATGCTCATGAAAAATGTGCAAAATGGCTAGTAATGTTATGCAAAGGAAATGAAGTCATTTAATTTTTAGCATTCATGGTCTTCACGTGTGCATCTTCTTCCTCAGGACAATCACATCTCTCCGGAGTGAACTGATTCCACATCTAGTTAGGAAACAGTTCTCTTCTCCTACATCATTGCCGCAAGGACGAGACAACAAAGAAGAGGACCAAAGGAAAAAAGAACAAGCATCCCTCGGTCAGTACAAGTATCAAAGTTTCGGGTTTATGGAAGTTTTAAAGTCCATATGCTACAGCTGAGTTATTGAGCAGAGTACAGAATTAGCCTGAAACACAAGTTTGGAGATTTCGGGGGTTTTTTTTCTCATGATAGCAAAGATTCAAATAGATTTCTTTTTCAAACGGTATTGTGCATTATGTAAATATTTTTGTCCTCGCTTATTTTTGGTGTAAATCAAAAGCAAATCAGTTAGGGGCTCTGTATTTTTTTCTTCTGGAATACAGGATAAGCAAATGCATGATTGACAATGTAATTTTAGAGGGAGTTCCTAATATTACTTGGAACAACAGACTAAGCCTTAACCACCCTGCACTGGGAACTGGACAGGATCTCAGATCTTGGATTTATTTTTAGTATTTCCGCTGTCTCCTTGTGTGACCTTGGGCAAAACATTGCATCTGTCCTGATTGCTTGATTCACACCTGCAGAATAAAAATAAGCACTTACTCACTACATGTGATAAAATCTGTTAATGATTGCTAAGTACCTAACCATTCAGATGAGGTGAGGCAAAGATTTCCCTTCACCAACAGTATTTAATAGTATTCCTCTTCAGAAAGTATTTTATTAAATCCTGTCTAACTTCATGCATGTGTGTGTTCTCCAGACATTTATAGTTTCATAAAGGAAGATAATAGCTTGCTGAGACCTGCTCCAGATAACTGTTGTTGGAATGATCACAGAGGAGATATGAATGAAACTCTCCACGAGGGAAAAGTGCGCTGCTACGTCCATATAATGAAAGAGGGGCTGTGCTTCCGAGTCAATACTCTTGGGCTGTACATTGAAGCCAACCGACAGGTGAGGAAAATAGACAACTGCCACCTGGGGCATTTTAGCCTCCAGGAGTGGCTCCCTGCAGTACAGCTGAGGAGCATGTGGGAATTGAACCAGTGCCATGTTATCTAGGCACATCACCCTACTGGTTGCTGCACAGGGATGTGAGGCCAGGAAACAGTTCTGTCACTAATTTACTCCATTGCTTTGATTTAGCTAAGAAGACCCTCACCCCACACACTCTTGGGTTTTTTTGAGGGAGCAAGACCTGCAGCCAAAGAGCCAAGAAGTGTGGAAAATAAGGATGGAAGTAGCTTTGGTAGCTTATCTAATCAGTGTCCTCCATGTCCCAAAAGCAAGATTAGTTCTGACTGGACTTATGTGCAGGAAGACTTAAACTACCCACACATTTAAATTGCCTAATGATTTCCATTATGAAAGAATTATTTTATGAACAGGTTTCACTACAGTGGCACTTCAGGTAAACACAGAGGTGAAAGTCTGATCTGTTGCAGCAGCTGTTGCAGCTTTCACTTTCACTACTGAGTATTCATAAAACAAAACATCACAGGGGAGGATTAGAGAAGTATTGTACTAACAAACAAGCTGATGGTTAAAAGTTCTTGGTCTGTTTGGGGTTTTGGGGGGCTTTTCTCTACACTGGCTGATGCAGTGTACAAGTTCTCACTTCACTCTGCTAGTGATAACACTTCATTGCTATCAGGAGTGGACAGTTTCCTCTAG